TTCAATTTATGAGCTTAAAAGGTTCTCTACTATAGATATTAATGAAATGAAAAAGAAGAAGAAGCTCATTTTTAGTAGAGTTAAAGAAACTCACAAAATTTAAAACCCAACTTGTTTTGACCCCTCCCTTGCCTACATCAGAAGGTTCTTCTATCTTCCTAGTTTTCTGGAAGGTTCTTTTGCTATTATGGAAACTTTTAGAAGCTTCTTCTAGAATGTTGTAGAAGCTTTTCAAAGTCCCTTGGATCACACCTGAGTAATCTGGGAATGACTCACCCAAAAGGGATCATCTGTAAAATTTTGGGGAATCACTAAGAAGTCTCGTACTCTGACATTGTTATGCTATCTCCTAAAGCCCATCCATATCTAAGCATTTTGTTTCCTTAAAATAAACTCTATGGTTCATTAAATGTGTTGTTTGGTGGCTAGTAAGTATATTTAGATGAGTTTGTAATTGGAATGATGGTTGGTAAATATAATTATTATCTAAATTAATACTTCATCATATATTCTGCTTGGTGCATTCTATAACCTTCAAAAGTAATTTTTAATATGTTTCCAAATCTGTCCCATATAGGCATATTTTGTTGGTGGTATCTCTGTGTGATTTAGTATGAAGTTGTACACCCCCTTGCTATTCCTTTAAATATATGCGTTTAACATATTTTATCATAAGCATGCTGATAAAAGGCTAATGATGATGGGCAAAATTTAATGCATTTATATATATTTGTTTGCATGCTTATTTTCTTCACTTCCCTTTGTCATGAGAAGAGGATTCATATAGATTAAATTTAAGTTATTTGAATGGATAACATGTAAAATAAATGTTGAATTTTATTATTAGTTTAGAAAGAAATGCAATGTTGCAGCGTGACACTAATATTTCTCAAAATCAATTTGGATTCATGCCAAGTTGGTCTACTATGGAAGTTATACATTTATTGAGAGGTTTGATGGAGAAGTATAGAGAGAATATGGAGGATCTACATATGATTTTTATTTAGAGAAAGCATATGATAAAGTTCCAAGAAAAGTGTTATGGAGAGTTCAACATAAGAAATGGGTTAATAATGCTTATATTCAAGTCATTAAGGATATGTATGCAAGAGTTAATAATGTTTATATTCAAGTCATTAAGGATATGTATGCAAAAGATGTTACTTGTGTTCAAACAAAAGGTGGTTTGACCAAGTATTTTCCTATTTCAGTTGGATTATGTCATGGATCGGCCTTAAGCCCATATCTTTTTTGCTTTAGTCATGGATGTTCTCACTAGACATTTGCAAGAGGTTGTACCCTGGTGTATGTTTTAGTCATGGATGTTCTCACTAGACATTTGCAAGAGGTTGTACTCTGGTGTATGCTTTTTGCTAATGATGTTCTTCTTGTTGATAAGACTAGAGAGGGAGTTGAAGTTAAAATTGAATTATGGAGGTCAACCTTAGAGTCTAAAGGCTTTTGTTTGAGTAGATCTAAAACTGAATATATGGAGTGTAATTTTAGTAATAATAGATTTAGTGGAGGGATTGTGATTTTGGGCGATCAAGTCATTAATAAGAGTACTCGTTTTAGATAGCTTGGGTCTATTGTTTAGAGTGATGGTGAAATAAATGGGGATATTATTAATAGGATTCAAGTTGGATGGTTGAAGTGGAGGAATGCATCAGGCTTGTTGTGTGATAGAATGATCCCTCACAAACTTAAGGGAAAATTCTATAAGATGGTAGTGAGACGTGCAATGCTTTATGGTGCTGAATGTTGGCATGTAAAAGAGAAGCATAATATTAAGCTAAGTGTTGCAGAGATGAGGATGCTTAGGTGGATGAGTGGCTTTACTCTTAGAGACAGGCTACGAAATGAGCATATACATGAAAAGGTTGGAGTAGCTCCAGTGGAAGATAAGATTAGAAAGAGTCGCCTTAAGTGGTTTGGTCACATAAAACGGCGGCCTTTTGATGACCCGATTAGGAAAATAGATGTATTAAATTTTACTTATGTTAATAAAGATAAAGGTAGACCTAAAAAGACTTTCTTAGAAAATATTAGAAAGATATTTCTTTATTAGATTTAGATGAAAATTTGACTTTTAATAGAACATAATGGATGTTGGAGTAGCTCTAGTGGAAGATAAGATTAGAAAGAGTCGCCTTAAGTGGTTTGGTCACATAAAACGGCGGCCTTCTGATGACCCGGTTAGGAAAGTAGATGTATTCAATTTTTATTATGTTAAAAAGATAAAGGTAGACCTAAAAAGAGTTTCTTAGAAAATATTAGAAATGATATTTCTTTATTAGATTTAGATGAAAATTTGACTTTTAATAGAACATAATGGAGAAAGGATTCATTTAGTCGATCTAACGTAGTGGGATAAAGGCTTGTTATAAGTAGATGTATTCAATTTTTCTTATGTTAATAAAGATAAAGGTAGACCTAAAAAGAGTTTCTTAGAAAATATTAGAAATGATATTTCTTTATTAGATTTAGATGAAAATTTGACTTTTAATAGAACATAATGGAGAAAGGATTCATTTAGTCGATCTAACGTAGTGGGATAAAGGCTTGTTATTGTTGTTGTTGTAAAGAAATGGAATATGGTTTGCATTGTTTAGAACAATTTTATTTTAGATACCATCAAAATAATTGAGAATTGGGAAGATTAGAAGAAAGAGAAAAATAAAGAATAAAAAACATATATAGACATATAAGAATAATATACAAACACCTGAGTTGCAATTCACTTTTCTTATATAGTTTACCTTCTTTTAGAAATAAACTTTCAATATCAATCCCATCTATAATTTTGTCAAATATATTATTATCACCATCATTAAAATGCTGATTTTAACATTATGATTGTCTTTATAAACCCACCACAACACTAATGGAGTGCGCTATATAAGGTGCCAACTCTAGCTTAAACTTTTTTACACAACTTCTAGAATCTTGTAATGTTACCTTTAATCAAAGGTATTTTTACCCACCACTATACATGCTTTCATCACCTTAATTTTTTTTTCTATCATTTTAAATTGCTTTAATTCTATTATTTGTCATCTCTTTGCCATATTACTCCTTTATTTTCATATTTTTCAAGTGTCTTAGGAGTACTATATGATAGGATGATATATGTGATACTTGCATTTAAATTTTTAAAAATTAAATTAGGTTTGACTTTGTTGTATGGATTTAAATATTGGATGATAAATAAGGCATTAAAAGCCACCACCTCCAACTACACAACAACAATAACATTAAGCATTTATCCCACTACATGGGGCGGTTACATGAAGTTTTTTTCTTCATTATGCCCGATTAAGAGTCAAATTCTTATTTAAATCTAGTAAAAATAGGTCATTTCTAATACTTTATAACAAAGCCTTTTTAGGTCAACATCTATCTTTCTTAATATAAGCTAGATCTAATGCATCTACTCTCCCAACCGGGTCATCGGAATGCCGACATTTTATGTGACCAAACCATCTAATGCAACTCACTTCTATCTTATCTATCACTTGAGCTACTCCAATCTTTTCACATATATACTCGTTTTGCATTATATCTCTAAGTCTCTAAGCGTAAGCCACTCATCCACCTGAGCATCCTCATGCTCATCTTTGCAACACTTAACATAGTTTTTTGCTTCTCTTTTAATGACCAACATTCTGTACCATAAAACATTACAGGTCTCACCACCATCTTATAAGAATTTTCTTTAAGTTTGAGGAAAACTTTTCTATCACACAATATGAATTAAAAGCCAAGTTGAATATAAAATAATTGAGAATGTCAAAGATGGGTGCATGGAAACATTAAAGATATATTAAGAAATTATTAATTTTGTAGGTTGGTATGAGTGGCATCTATTGAAGAAAAATAATTGAAAATAGATTTAGATGATTTGAGTGTGTACAATAAAAAATAGAAAATAAACTAATGAGGTGGGTAAATAAAATTGATGTTCTAATATTAATAATTAAAATGGGTGTGCCAAAAATTTTATGTATAGAAGTTATGAAAAAAAATTTCTCAAAGTAGGTTTAAAACTTTTGACTGCTTATTAAAAACCAATGGAAAATGATTATTCGTAAAGTCGACTCAAATAGTTGGGATTAGGCTATAGATGATGATGATCATGAGTATTTATGTATTTTATTTTTCAACAAGTTGATCTAGCTTAATCAGTCTTCAACACTGATAAAAATTATTCAATGAAGATGTCATAACCTGGATTATGTCCATTTGTATATTTCACTTATTATTTTGTCTAAGTATTCATTTGGTTTCTTGTAAATAGTAAACTTGTTTTAGAAAACGATGACTTAGCTTTCACTCATTTTCTATTTAAAAATGAAATCATAACTTTTAAGAAAATTTTGACAAAACTTGTAGAAATCAAAATTGTGTCTAACTACACATTCCAACCAAATGATGGAGTTAACAAGCCCATCATTTTTTAAAAATGTGATTCCTAACTTCAATCAGCCCAATTGAGCCCTATGATAAATCTTTTTGGTATTTTTTTGAAAAACGTGAATGTGAACTAATTACCGGTAATGATTAAAAGTTGGATAAATAGATCCATAAAAAATAGGAGCTATAACTTTCAGCAGTCAGTTATCTTTTCTCACCTTTTATCCACCAATTTTTTGTTCTATTATTTCTTAGTATATACTACATGCTTTTATCAAAGCATTCTATCACACACAGCTTTACTTGAGTGTTTCTGTATGTTTCATTCTTTTAGTACTCCTTTATGCAGTTTTAGCTGTGGTCATCATTTTAACCTTCAGAAAGCACATGACTCAAAGAAAATGTGTATTGCAATTTGTTTTAATAGTCCTACCTTTATTAACATTTTCTTGCCTTCATCGGGTTTGTTTTTGCATATATTTTATACTAATATATGAACTAAGCTCATTTGATTGTGGCCGACGGATCACTGCTCCTTGACGTATATATGCTTTTGGTGGCACTTAGGCGGTTTGTTTTTCTTACAGGGACCTGAGATTCGTACTGGTTTCTTGAAAGATGGAAAGCCTATTCAATTGAAGGAGGGTCAAGAGGTTACCGTGTCCACTGATTATAGCATCAAGGGAGATGGAAATACTATTTCGATGAGTTATAAGAAACTTCCTGTAGATCTGAAGCCTGGAAATACAATCTTGTGCGCTGATGGAACAATAACCTTGACAGTCTTATCTTGTGACCCTGAGGCTGGAACGGTAAGATGTCGTTGTGAGAACACTGCAATACTAGGTGAGAGGAAGAATGTTAATCTACCAGGAATAGTGGTGGATCTTCCTACGCTAACTGATAAAGACAAGGAAGACATATTGGGCTGGGGAGTTCCCAACAGTATTGACATGATTGCTTTGTCATTTGTTCGTAAAGGCTCTGATCTTGTTAATGTACGAGAGGTCCTTGGACCATATGCAAAGCGCATAAAATTGATGTCTAAGGTACATTCCTTTCAGAGGCCATATCATCCTTTTAATTGATTAGCTTTGGAGTTTTTTTTTTTAATTATTTTTTTTTTTTTACTTTGGAGGTGTTATCATTATTATCCAATTATGAAGGAAAAAAGAAACGGTGATGAAAAGAAAAAGAGAGGAGGAATATGTCAAGAAAGTGTATTTTTCATTCATTCTTATGAGTAGGAATAATGAAATGGATAGTAATAAAAGTAATTTGTAGACTTCCTATTGGACCTATCGTCTTGTCACTGGATCAGCACTTTACTGCTGCTAGAAGGTAGTCTCAGCTGTATTGGGAGATGTATGAGTGGAATGCTGAGAGGGCACGAACAGTAAAAATAAAAATATGGAGAGCTTTAGACCATTCGTGATCGTCTACTTGAGTGATTGAATGAGAGTAAATGAGAGGGAGCGCAGGATCTTGGTTTTAACTGCAATCTATGAAAGTTTCCTTGCAATTTCATTGGGTTAGAACAGGAAACGTGGGAGGAATTTTCATGGTGCTGAAACTTATAATAACCTTCTTCCTTATAATCCCTTACTGAACAACAACAACATCAAGCCTTTGTCCCACTACGTGGGGTTGGCTACATGAATCCTTTTTGCCATTGTGTCCTGTTAAAAGTCAAATTCTCAATTAAATCTAATAAAGAAAAATCATTTCTAATATTTTTAACCAAGTATTTTTAGGTCTACCTCTACTTTTCTTAACATAAGTCAAATCTAATATCTCAACTTTCCTAACCGGGTCATGGCCTCCGTCTACCTCTGCAACACTTAACTTAGTATTATGCTTCTCTTTTAATGGCCAACATTCGGCTCCATAAAGCATTGTAGGTCTCACCACCATGTTATAGAATTTTCCCTCAAATTTGAGAGGGACTTTTCTATCGCACAACAAGCCCGATGCATCCTCCACTTCAACCATCCAACTTGAATTGTGATGATAATATTTCCATCTATTTCACCATCACTCTGAATAATAGATCCAAGATATCTAAAACATATACTCTTATTAGTGACTTGATTGCCCAAAGTCACAATCCCTTCACTAGGTCTATTGCTACTAAAATTACACGGCATATATTCAGTTTTAGATCTCTCAAGCGAAAACCTTTAGACTCTAAGATTGACCTCCATAATTCAAGTTTTATATAATCCCTTGCTGAACGAACAAAACAAAATGAAGTTCCTTCCTCACCTTTGATTTGCATCAAACCCATTAAGAGCCATAAATCTTTTGTCCATTGACAAATGAGCATGAGACTTTGGCTATTGAGTATGCATTTCACTGTGCATGAAATTTTATTTGTTGTGTTTGGACCTTGGCGTACTGTAGATTTTTTTATTTTTCGCTGTAATCATCTGTTGGGTGGCAACTTCTTACAGCTTGTGTTCATTTCTTGTTGGTATCTCATCAGGTTGAGAACCAAGAGGGTGTGATAAACTTTGATGAAATCCTACGGGAGACGGACGCCTTCATGGTCGCTAGAGGTGATCTTGGAATGGAGATTCCAGTTGAGAAGATCTTCCTTGCACAGAAAATGATGATTTACAAGTGCAATCTTGCGGGCAAGTCTGTTGTCACTGCCACCCAAATGCTTGAATCTATGATCAAGTCTCCACGCCCAACGCGTGCAGAGGCCACCGATGTTGCAAATGCCGTCCTTGATGGCACCGACTGTGTCATGCTTAGTGGTGAAAGCGCAGCAGGAGCCTACCCTGAATTGGCAGTGAAGGTAATGGCCAAGATCTGCATCGAAGCAGAATCTTCTCTTGACTATGACGCCATCTTCAAGGAGATGATAAAATCTGCCCCTCTTCCTATGAGCCCAATTGAGAGCCTTGCTTCCTCAGCCGTCCGCACAGCTAATAAGGCAAAGGCTGCACTGATTGTTGTGCTAACTCGCGGTGGAACAACGGCGAAGTTGGTGGCGAAGTACAGACCTGCTGTGCCTATCCTATCAGTGGTGGTTCCCGTGCTGACCACTGATACATTCGATTGGTCCGTCAGTGATGAGACTCCGGCGAGGCATAGCCTGATCCACAGGGGCCTGATCCCTCTGCTTGCAGAAGGCTCCGCCAAGGCTACTGATGCAGAGTCCACAGAAGTAATTCTGGATGCTTCTTTGAAAACAGCTATCCAAAGGAAACTATGCAAGCCCGGTGATGCTGTGGTTGCTTTGCATCGCATTGGCATTGCTTCTGTCATCAAAATCTGCATTGTGAAGTGATGGAAGAACTTTCCTGCAGGATCTACTTATTATCCATCTAATTGAAATAGCAAGTTTTGTCATTTTTATTACTGTTTTGTATTGGTGAGCGAACACCAGCATACTTAGGCATGCCTTTTCTCTTCTCACATAAGCATCGCCGATCCCTCTCTATGGTTTCTGTACCTTTACAGAGCCCGAGACTTTCTGAACATATTGAAAATAAATTACTTTGCTGGTCTCGCGCAGCTTTTCTTACATTCTGTGATTTATTCTCAGGTAATTGTTTTTTTTTTCCTTGATTGAATCTTGTCGTGCAATCACTACTAGAAGAATTGATGACTCAAGCATGTGAGATAGTCTTACGGGTGAATGAACTTGGTTCTGGAACAAAAGTTTTCTTTGTGCTTGGTTGAGCTCAACTATGGTTAGGGGATTACTTTGCTCATGCTCAGCCTGTGAGAGTTGGAGCTGACTGAACGGCTTATCTTCTCAATTGAATGTCAATGGTTGCTGACTGGAACGAATGAAGAAGAAATTGAGTTTTGGTAAGCGGTAAATATGGCAAGCGGTATCTCTTTGTGAATTGTGAAGTTCTTTTATAAACATATGCATACAACTCAATTTGATCTGTTGGTTAAGAGTTTAGGCTATCAACTAAGAGGTCTTGAATTCGAGTCTTGTGCATGTGATGTATGTGCGAGTCTGTCTTAATTGGCCTATATGTCCCAAAAAAAAAAACATAAACACATGTGAAGTGTATTAAGAGTTAAATTTTAGAATATCAATTTTCTACAAGTTTCTGTGGTTGTTGTTTAGCGTCTTTCGGGTTTCGTTTGGGATAGTTTTCTTAAAGCAAATTTACAAAAGTTTTTTAAAAGTAGTGAAAAAAAAATAACGATTAAAAGCTGTCTCAAGCGAAATCTTAAGAGCTAGATCTTTTATTTTAGTCTCTTGCTTGCCCTCGCTTGCTACGATTAAAGCGTCTCATTTGCCCTCAAAACTCCTAAGTGTGGTGTAGGAAAAAATATTACGTGCAGAGTTTGGATGTCGTCGGAACTTCAATCAAGTGAAGACGTGTGAATTTTTTTTCCTCTCTCTTGGACATAGGGTATATACAAGAGAGAAAAAGTTCATGTGATTGGAGTTCGGACGAAAAGTTGTATCCGGACTTCGTAGATAATAATTTCTCATGGTGTAGGCTGTGCAGAGAAAACCTAACTTCAAACTTTGAGCTTAGGCAAACATCATTCAATTGAAATGTTATTAAATTAAAAAATTAATAGTATAATGATTCATAAATTAAATTTTTAATCATGCATATATTTTGTATTACTATTAGTATGAAAAAAATATTTGTAATTTTACTCATATTAAATTTTAACCTTCCATCTTATTTTATTTATATAGATAATTTTAATTTCTCGTTTATTTTCATTTAGATTCTTCATCAATTTTAATTGAAATGGTCATTACATCATTCAGCTTTATAAATTTAAGACATAATGATCAATTAAATTCATTGATTTCAAAAGTATTTCCAGAACTTCAAATAATAAAAATAAGTTATATTTATGTAATATCGATATTTTTATTATAAAAAATGACTTGTGATTTTCTCATATTATTTTTTAATATTTCATCTTATTTAATTTATTTAGATTATTTCAATTTTCATTAACGATTATATAGTACAGAATTTTATTGACTTTTGAGTTTATTATATATAAAGAGAGAGAGAGAGAGAGAGAGAGAGAGATTAGTGATTTTTCTCTTGTTAAATCTTGACATTTCATCTTATTTAATCTTTGCAAATAATTTCAATATTGCCCTTTTATTTTTATTTAAATTTTTCATTAAAGGGGTGTTTGATTAGAAGTAAAATGAGTGTAAAGTATTTTAAATACGAGGATTTTAAAAATATTGGTGTTTGATTGGATGAAAAAGTAATATAAAATGAAATAAATATAGTGCAAACCATTTTGAATCATTTTTTAGGTAAACTAAACTCGCACAGTTTTGACTTTTGAGCAAGAACAATTTACACCACAAAAAGCTCACTTAACTGTTGTCTCCCAACACTGTCGGACGTCATCACCCACTACTGGCCATGGCCGCCACTCGCCGTCGGCCACCACCACCTGCCACCATTGTTGCCACCCATTGTCGGCCACCAAAGCTGGCCCCCGCCTACCTCTTCCAACCACCACCTCCACTAACCCACCAAGGGCTGCCACTGCCACCATCCACCAGCTACTATCATCTTTAAATTTTACGCTACATTCGTTTTACTTCAATATGAACAAAAAAAATATTCATCTGCATTTACTTTGCACTAAGCCAAACAACTCAAAAATATTTCTTTTACATTGTAATCATTTTACACTAGTTCCATTTTCAGCCAACTAAGCAACCCCAATTCCAATAAAGAGGTTGTTTGGTTTGTTGTAAAGTGAATATACTGTATAATAAATACAATATAAAATAAATACTTTAAAACTGTTTGGTTGAAGTAAAATGAATGCAGGACAATTATTTTTTTCTATTTGGTTGGTTGTATGTAGAGTAAAGTAAAATCAGTGCATCAAGAAATATCATTTGATTTTTTCGTTGAGTGACTACATAGTAAAAGAAAAATATTATAATTTGATTAAATCTTTTTTAGTTCACATTAATAATTATAATTTTATGATATTTTGGAAAATTTTATTAACATTAATAAAATACTTTGCTATGAACTAACACGACTTCAATGGACTAGCAACACACGTGCCACGTCTTTACTGGCAAGAGATGGATTGAGAATGAATCTTAGTGATGATATTTTCGACTAGATATTTACTTTTTATAAGTTATAGTGATTTTCATATTTGTCCACCTCAGCAAACTGTTGTTGATGATATATGAGTTTTACTTTAAGTATTTGATGATTTATTTCAATTTAAATAACTTGATTTTGGATAATTTTTAGAATTTTAGATTTTCGTGGGCATTTGGAAATTTGGGAGGCATTTTTAAATATTTGAAGTCCCCTCCGATTGAGATTTTATGTTAACACGGTCATCATCGAGGTACTTATAAGCAATTTCATTTTAATGGTTGAACTTTGTTGACTCTATGCACTTGCTAATAGAGGATCGGGATTGTTGTTATATTTATGCCTATATTAATGAATTATTCTTACAATAGTCTTTGAAGGTCTAATATGAATGTATAAAATAAATATCTTGGTTGATGCTGCAACCATATATTCATTTGATAGTTCGAGCCGTATCAACTCCTATCTATTCACATAGAAGAATCGGGCTCAAACTTGACTTCATTTTTGGCCTGCAAAGTATCCTTAGATGTCACGTATGTGCATATAACATGTTCATCAAGATCCATGCAAGTAATCATATTTTAATACATGAGAGGAGGTGTTTTTACAGTGATTAGCTATACAAATGACCCATATGGATAAGTATGCAGGGTTTTGGTTTTGAAATTAGTGGACGCCTTCTGTTCAGTTATATGAATGTTGCAAATTCGATGGCATTATACATCATTCATTATGCATTGACATTGCAGTTTAGCTCACTCTATCTTCTGCATGTTGCCTTTTCCTTTAGTATGTAGCTTTCTGGAATATACTTCAGTATTTAAACAAGCTGTGTAGTGTGTCAAGGGGCCTCCTACCCGTCGCTTGTAAGTAAGATGATATCTTGCGTGATAGCCTGGCTCTGCAAATTTATTGTTTCAACTTACTAGTGACCTGCAATTTTTACTACTAATTATTTGCTTTTGCTTATATATGAATCTTAGTGTTGATGAGTTTTGTTGAATTTGTTTGCAGGTCGTTAGTGGATATCCAAAGGTTATTAGCGGTCATATGTCAACTGATGTGTACATGACGGATTTCTCACAGTGGCTTATAGGTGCTTGCATTACTGCAGGTTTGTTGGTTTTGCTAGTAAGCAGTGTGTTATTGATGAGGACATCAGAAGATCAATGGTTACGATCTATAGTTTATTTTAATTTTGATGTGACTTATGTACTAGTTTATTTTATATTTATATTTTTCCCATTTTACCCCTAGGGGTAGTCATGTGGTATTGTAGCCTGAAGGGCATTTTAGTCTTTATTTCTTTTCTTATCATGAGGCCTATTTATAGGCCAACTCTCTTATAATTTGGGATGATGAATATTGAATGAAATTTTATTTTCTTTGTTTGATCTCTAAGTGAGTTAATGAGAGGAGAGATCCTAGGTGGGTGAAAGCAATACCCGTTAACCTTTGGAAGAGTCCAAGGTTCACGGTTTTACAATCTCTTTGTGAGTTCTTGATTCTTTATTTTATTCTTCAACTTCCTCTTCCCTCTTCCCCTATATCGTTGACCTTCCAAACCACCCCTTCTCCTTTCCTCCTCCCAAAATCGAACCCCACCCAACACCTCAACCATTAAATGCAAACACATCAAATTTCCCCTCATGTGGCCAGCCCCCTCTCTAGCCCTTTCTCTATCCAATTTTGCCACCTAGACCCTCATTAAATTCCAATTAAACTCCATTGGCTGCCACCCAATCAAGCCACCCTTATTGGAATTATTTTGAATTTCAAATGGAATATTCAAATCACATCCCTTTTCCACTTAGCTGCTTCCCCTACAGTCCACCCAAGCCGTAAGCACCACAATTCCCCGCCTAATAACTCTTCTCCCTACTACGTGCTCATCTCCAGGTACTGTCCATGATTTTCTGGATATACGAATTGATGTCCATAATTTTCTGGTCATGCAAGGCTGCTGTCTTGAAGTTCTACTTGCTGTCTAGGAGATTTCGGCAAGTTGAGCTGTTTCCCTACTCTCCCAAAACCCTCATGTTTGATGTCCTGAAGAGTCACAGCTGTTGTTCCAAGATTTTAACAGTTTTCTAGTGCTGATTCGCCATCCGGAAGGCTCTCATTTGCTGCCCAGAATATCCCACGTGGCTTTCCACACACATGACTTCTTCGAGATCAACCACCGGACTCCGGATCTTTTCCCTCGCACCTCAAATCAGATCTAAGAATTTGATGATGGTGAACTCTTCCCCAAATTTCTTATCTTCCTAGTCGCTCTCAATTATGGTTTTGTTGATTCACATAGATAATGTTAATTCTCATCCGCTATAACCTAGTGAATTAGGTAATTGAGTGAGTGGGTTATTATAGTAACTAAACTCATTGTTAGTTTATGGATCATCATTGAAAACCAATCATATATACAATGTTAGATTAAAG